ATTGAGTTGATTGATTCCTTTCATTGTCGCGTTTGAGTCGATTGAATCAATTCCCGAAAACTGCTCTGACTTGATTGATTTGATTGGTTTCCCAAATTTGTCGTGATTGAATTGATTGCTATTGATTGAGTCGTATACAACCCTGGTCACCACCCGGCTCCCCTCAGCTCGATTTGCACCTTCCCGGCGGCAGTGGCGCACCCGGGATCAATCTGCCTCGGGACGGGGAAAATCGCTGAAAATGCGACACTGAAAAGTGCCAAGTGAGATAATCGTATAAGATATTACTGAGGCCGTTTCTAGATCAGTTTCCAACGGTTAAATTGGTGAGCATTGTGGTCGATATCAACATGAGTGACTACACCCTACCGCGCAGTCTGAAGAGGGGGGGGGGGTGTACACTGTACAATGTACATACACCGCTGCAGCCTGAACCTTTGCCAACACACAAACATCACATATTAAAGGGACCCTCCCACCTTAACATTAGATTTGAGTTGAGATAGCCAAAATGGGGTCCCTGGCTCACAATTACCGGTTTCGGCACTCACAACATCGAGAAATGCCTTAAATCGGAAATATTGAATTTCAAAATTGCAGCATTTTGATTCAGAGGGGCTAATGCATAGGAATACCCCTCTGAATGTGTGACGTCAGCGCAGATATCTAACGATTTTTAAATGTTTGACTAAAACGTTTTGTAGCGCGCGGTGGTATATGCTGCTTTGCGCGCAACAAGTGCCGCACTTTCAGCTGCCAAACTATTGCTTCCAAATAAAGTTGCTAGGAACAGCGGAGATCCCAAAGAGTAAACAATAAAAGTCTAATATCTTGAAAACCGGTGAATATTTTTCGGTGAAATTTGGTAGATATTCGTTTTCGCTCTTTCTGAACCGAGCGACATCACTTTCATGCCAATTCATAAACTTTTTTGAAGGTGGGAGGGTCCCTTTAAAGTTCAACATCATGAACATATATTTTCAGCGAAAACGTTCACTTCACGTTTGTCACCTGGAGATGTAATGAGTGGGGCCCATCTAACTTAACTCCAAACAAACATCGGGTCTCACACAGAAGACAACCTCCCAGGAATGACGCAACGCACAAGTCGGCTTTCTGAGCTGGAGGTGCCGTGACCGCACATCGGCTACGTACGCTATCAGTGCTGTGTTCGGCGCCTTTTTGGTTGCGACAGTGGTTGGAAGTCCGACACGATGCTCCTCAACTTCCTCTTCTCACTTCTGGGTGACCGACTGTCGAAGACAGGTTTATACTTCGACATCAGTTGCAGCACGGCTGCCGTAGAGACGGCCCTTCCAGTACTGGTAAGCCGACGGGCTTCTCTTCCCAGCGCTGCCAGCTGGGCCTCAGAGAATGACCGTCGACTTTGCATCACCTCTGCGGAGCCCGATTCGACACTTTCGTCCCCACACTCTTCTCTTTTGTCGTCCTTCGCTTCTCCGTACATGAGTGCTCTCATCGTAGAAACACTCTCAAACGCATCGCCTTTGCGATTTTTTTTGCGGAATATGCTTGGAATGCCGTATCTGGTCGATGCGTCATATGATTGGTAATTTTGCGGCTCTCAGACTCAGGGACGGAGCTGTAGGCGGCCGAGCTCATGGTTTTGCGCATCAGCGTTGGGTGCATGTACGAATTCCAAACATAGAACACACCGCGGCCACATCGTCGCAAACTTTTGTCGCCGGGAAAAGTTTGTTCTCTGCCGTGCCTTTGACAAGCAGAGGGCGGAAAGACTCAACGTACGCGTGGAGATAGGGCAACTGGTCTAAAACCACAAGGTTCAGAGACCCGTATGACGCCTTCGACTTATGTTCGGACACTCGTCCCTGAGAATGTTTGAGTCCATGGCACGATATTCACTCAAAGTCGCATTCGAAATCGCCCCCGACCTTTGAAAATTGTCGCACAGCAGAGATACTGCAAGCAATCGCCGCACCTTTACCGCATCACCGCGGCTCTTTGGAGGCTCCTTGGTTGTCGTAGCCAGTTCCTTCAGTGTAGGTACGGCTCTCGCGAGATTAAGCGGTAGGTTTTGCACTTTTACATTTCCGGTTATATCTCAGAAACTAATCGATCTACGATGAAGCCATTTTACACGATCATGGCCGGCTTGTTACCCAACAAGTCGATCGCATCTTCAACACTTAAAAGCATAAGACGACGAAGATATAGCCTGAAGTAGGGGAGACCCGGGAGGTATGGGCCGGTTTTGTGAAAAGGCAATTTTCTTCCAGTGGGCAGTGGCTAGACCCGGTTTTTCACTCTGTGCACGTGAAATTGCCTTTCGCCTGCAAAGTGTGCCTGATATTAGGCATCTGGGACCAACTCTTTTGCCTTGAGATAACTTTCAATAAATAATGTGCTTTTTTGATCCATCAAAATACACCGGGAGGTATGGGCCATGACCCGGGAGGTATAGGCCCGTGCCATGTTTCATATTCTTTTCTCGACAATGAGAAAATACTCGTAGCTGGTATCTACCTTGATCTCTCTTAGAGCCCAGGAACCGCATAAGCGGCCAACAGCTTACTTCATGGAGGTCTCTTGGGCATATATGTATGTATTTTGGTAAACTCAATCATGCACCATGAAATAAAATAAATAATATTTTTCCGAATGAAATTTGAAGTTAAATTTTCAACCTTGCGCGACAAAAATAGAACTTCTTGAAGATGACACTCAATGAAAGCATCTTTTTATTGAATTAGGCTCAACGGGGGTGGGTGGCTCGAACCTCCCGGTTAGGACGCCAAAACTTGCATAGCATCTCAGCTCATAATTTTGCAAGAAAGCTTCAAATTGTCTATCCAGTCTTAATTTGCATGATTTAAACTTTATGTTAGCATTGGTCTGACATCATAAAACGAGCCTGGTTCAAATTTATCACGAATTTTCTATATGTACAGTCAAGGGCGGATCCAGCCGGCCGTCTTGGGGGGGGGGGGGGGGCAACCGGTTGGGACTAGCCAAACCTAGGGTACCCCCAAATCTAGTTTTCTCACCGGTTTTAGGCCACTTATTTTTCACACTTCGCCTTTTCATCGAAAAAAGCGAAACGAAAACATTTGCAAAAAGTGAGATATTTTGTCTCAGCTGAGTCAAGGAACTACGTTTTTGGTAACGTAGAAAAAAGGCTTAAATCTTCCACATGAGCTGTCAAGCCAGGTAAAGAGGGGGATTTTTTCTTAAATGTTTTCTTCCCTTTAGTTTTCCTTTGTGACCCACAACCGCTAATTCAGGGAGGGAAAGCTGCCCCGACGGTTCCTAGCCCTATGAAAAGTTGTGGGGCAGCGCCCCCACGGCCCCAGAGTTGTGGGGGCAGGCTGCCCCCACTGACCCCCAGCTCCCGCGCCCATGACCACAAAGTTCAGGCCCATGGCCCGGCGTCGAGCTCAAATTCAGACTCGGCAATGTTGATGGTGTGTCCGAGTTCAGACAAGCTGAGCTTATGCTGGGTTCAGCTAGGACGATTGAAGAGGTATCCTGTTGGGCTAAATGCCGGACAATCTCAAGCTCTAATTTTGCATTTAATGCTTAATTATCCTACTATGTTGAGTGAAAACTACCCATGTGTCATTAAGTATAACTTCAAATAGTGGGTTTAGTTAGTGACATATGGTGGAGCATTAGGGGTTTAAGGGGTGCACATGCACCCCCTAACTGAATAAAGCACCTTCTCAAAATGACACTTGAAACACTTCAAAAACAAGTACAGGTAAGGGGAAATTGTGTCTTCCTCTGTTAACCCTCGCCCGTATAGGGGGAGGGGTCGAACAGACCCCACCCCCTCGGTTTTTCGCGAATAACTCGCGTAAAAACGGCTAATCGCGACGAAACTTTCAGTACCCTCGAGTTAATCAATTTTGCATTTACCCTAAAACTTAAATTACCCTGACCCAAGTGACCTTTGACCTGTGACCTATTTCTCGAGACCATGTTTGGCCGGGATCGCGATTCGGCGTATGTTTGCTCGCATTAGCCGCGCGTTTGCAGTCTTTTCGTGGTTTCAAGCGTTCAAACATGTGATATGATGTTGGTCCCATGCATTTGGATGGGTGTGAAGGTCACCTGAAGGTCAGGTCAGGTCATTGACCTTTGATGACCTCGGTTCACTTTTTCGAGTTTTACATGTTTCTAGGCTAGTTTTTGAAGCTGAACTCGAATTCAGCAGCCATTTGAACATTTACGAAGTACTTTTGGTGCCTTCGTAACATGTTACGAAGCTGTCAGAGGCGATTGACACGTACTACGAATACCCGGCAGGACCACTACTGGTTGACCTGACCCGACCTGGCCTAAATGCATGAAGTCATTTTCTGGGATCAACACTAACACGATATTCGTGATCAGCACCCCGAAAAAGCTCAGCCACACTTACGACGCTCTAACAGATCCCAATTTTCCCGACTTTTGGGTCATTGACCTGACCTGGAAGGAACCTGGAACCATGAACCAATGACCTAGGACCTTAAATTGGGTATCATCGTCTTTGTAGTCAATTTCACAGCCAGTTAGATAAAAGATAGATATTATTGTCAATATCAAGCGATGTTAACACAAAATTAGTCGCACTTCACAGAGGGCTGGAACTCCCCAATAACGACACCATTCCATCCCTGGACTCCCCGACCTGCCGTTCCCCTTCGCTCCTCCCAGCGCACTGCTCGCCCCACTGCCAGTGATCCCCGATTTTTTGCCCTCTCCACCAATCCCCTTCGGCAAAAGCCCTGAATTCTAGGGCCTAGCCAATCAGAGCTCACCAACACATCAATAAGTCAGGCTTCTTGATCTGGTTGCCATGGCAACATAACAATTGTCACGAACTTCCTAATTCCGAATTAACACTACACTCCTCCCTGATCATAATTGATCACAACTACATATATCTCGGGTCTGCCGCCTCCTCGTGCTTCTCCTCAGGGCCGGTGGTGGCTCCGCTGTGCGTGTTCCATTGAGACCAGTCCTTTCTACTTGCGTCAGTCCTCCGTCCCTATTTGCTTGAGCGTCCTCGTTTTGCGCGAAACTGTCCTCTTCCACTTCTGTTTCGTCTGGACCGTCTGCGTCCCGCACATGTCCATGATGTGGCTCTGAGTCATCTTCTGCTCCTCCCAGAGCTCTTCTGCGCTGCTGTACTGAGATCAGCAGCGGCCCGTCGTCACGGTCGCTGTGCGGCGCTGGAGCGGCCGCCCGATCCGGGCCCTGGTCTGTGACGTGGCGCAGATCTCTGACGTGTCTCGGAATGCCGTCCACTTCAACCGATTGAGCGGACAGCACTTGCGTCACCGTGCCCTCGGCGCTCGGTACATCGCATCGCCTGCTAGGATCCTTGATCCACACCCTGTCGCCGATGCTGAACCGACAGGATATCACCTGCCCGGGGCTCTGCTCATCGTCTCCACCAATTCCGCGCACTCGAACCTCGTACGAGTACACCATGTTCGCCGGTGCAGAGCCAGCATCCACATCGTCCTTCGGTGTGATGTTGTACAGGTTGACAGCCTCCATGACGCTGCAGCCTGAGCGTGCAACGATGGTCTTCACCGTCCGATGGCACCGCTCGGTGATGCCGTTTCCACTTGGAGAATGGGCACATCTGAAGATGATCTTGATGCCCCACGTCTCTGCAAACTCGCAGAACGCGGAGGCTCGAAAGGCTGGGTAGTTGTCGATCAGCAGCTCCTTTGGCGCACCTCGCTCCAGGAAAACCAGCTCGAGCTGCTGAATCATGCTCCTTGCGTCCTGACGAATCAGCCTCTTCCAGATCGCGAAGCGTGATGGTCCGCAATCTATCATGCTTAGATAGTGACTTCCTTGCACGTGCGTCACGTCCACGCCCACTCTGAAGCACACAGTCTCCACGCTCAGCTTGCCTCTGGGCCACGTAGCCGGTGCAGGGTCAATTGACTGGCACTTATTGCAGCGGCGCACCACGCCTTGTACCATTTTTCGCGACACTGTTGGCGACTTTCTGCGGCAGAAGTACAGGGTGCGCCGAATCCCAGGGTGTCCGACTATCTCGTGGATGCGCGTCACCTCTGCTGACGTCAGTTCCCCGACAGCAGCACATACCGGATCACCGACTTCTTTTCTTTTCAGCCACCTGTTAGGCACTCGGGTCAAGCTGTCCGCTTTATTTTCCGCAGACGGTACGAAGTGGACGTCTATTCTGAGGTCGTACTCCTCAGCGATGGAAGTGATCGTTTGAAGACGTCGGCGGATCAAAAGCTCACTGGCCGCTTTCGTTTTGATCCGAGCCTTCCCCGATAGCGCGTCAGACAGCCAGTGGAATACGGTTTGCGAGTCGGTCATCAAACGGATATCCTTCATATCCCACGCTACCGCCAGGTTCAGGCCTTTCAGGACTGCTTCCAGCTCTGCCAAATTGATGTGGCCGCAGTCGTCCTTCCTGAGCCAGCTCGCGTCTTCTATGACGTCACCGTTCACCTCCAGTACCGCTCCGAGAGCCACTGAGCTGGCGTCCACCCAGAGAGTAGCCGCGTCGCCAGAGACGTCCCATCGGCCGCGAGCCGGGTCGCTCTCCCGTACTCGGCTCACCATCTCGCTCATCATCTCCAAGACCTGGGGGTCTTCGACAGGATCATCCCATGCCGCCGTTACGGCATTGGCTCTTCTCTTCACAAACGAGGCGGCGACTCGTAGCCAGCCACAGACTGGTAGGTGACTTACCAGCCGCCCGCACAACGAAAATACACTTCGGCGTGTCGGGCGCTGCGGAATCTGTCCCATCTCATTGTCACGCTCCCATCTCAGCCGCTCTCCCTCCTCTCGGACACGAAGTCCGAGCACACGAGCTCCATTGCCACTCACGCGTTCTGCGGGCTTGCATTCGAGCCCATATTGACGCAGGTGGTCCTCAACGCGCTCGGCGCTGACCACGCTCTCATCCACGAAGATATCGTCCATATGTATATGGCGATGTTGCGTCACGGATCTTCTCGTCGCGGTTCAGCACGGTGGCGACCACCCTTTTCAGGATCTGTGGTGCTGATTTCAGCCCAAACCCGAGTCTGGTCAAGCAGTACCGTTTCCCTCCAAAGACGACCGTCTGGTACGTCCACAGCGATCTGTGAACGTGAATCTGGAGGTATGCCTTCTGCAGATCGATGAGTGCGACGTTTGTCCCCTTTCTCCGCCACTCACGCAACTTGTGGGCGCACACATCAGCGTCGGCCGTGTGGGTTGTCACGTACTCGTTCAGTTCGCGAAAATCCATCACAGGCCTCACTTTTTCTTTGTTGGGCTGAACGACTGCCATCAGTGGCACGGTTCCTCGCACAGGTCCATGCTCCTCCTCGTTGTAAGGTATCAGCCAGCCATTGGATACCCACTCCTCCACTTCCTCTTGATACTTGTCCCTGGCGGTCGGCGCCATCCGATACTCTGCTACCGTGTTTCTTAATTCCTTTGGTCCCTTCTCATCGTTCCACTTCCATGTTACAGTCCATTTTCGGTCTCTCTCGTTATAGTTGACTCTGAAGTCCGACTCATCGATTTCCATCACAGCCGTTGCTGTAATTGCAGCTTCTGTTTCGACACCAAACTGACACTGCCTCTCCGACAGAACGGTCACGCCGCCGAGGGCTTTTATGCCGTCCATTCCCAGGATCATGTCAAGGCCCAGCGGCTTCTCTCCAACAACCAGCGAGTCAATGTGAGCCTCTGCACCATTGTCCAAACGCACCGAGACCTGCCCTACTCCGTCGCACTCGCTCCGCTCACCGCTCACAGTGAAAACACTCTCACGCTGCCGTTTCCAGTCGGTACAGGCTGAGGTGTGTACGATGCTTCTAGAGCAGCCGGTGTCGATCAAAACCGTGCGCTGACTCCCGTTTACTGACAAGCGCCGGAGCGGCAGGGATCCACTAACGCGAGGCCGGGAGAGGAGGCTGGCGCTGAGGCTTCCTCTCCGTTTCCGTTTCCCGGACACTTAGCAGCGAAGTGTCCAAACTGGCCGCAGCTGAAACAGGCTCCTCGGCTCCTCCCTGTCCGGCACTGTCTAGCCAGGTGACCAGTGCGCCGACATATGAAGCATAGTACCGGCCCCTCCCGCTTGGCTCCGCCGTTCAACATAGGCGCTTGGCCGGGCCGTTGGGCCACCGCGGCCACCGTCGTGTAGTCAGCCATCAGCGCACGAGCGCGAGCCACAATTTGAGCGAGATCCAGTGATTCCATTCGAGACCCCGACCTCAGCGCGTGACGCGTTTCTTCAGGCAATCCGGCTACGAAGGCACAGGCAAGGACGCCGTCGTTGTTTACCCCTCCGGCCAGCCGTGACAGACGACGCAGGTCGGCTAAGTAGACGTCTACTGATTCATTCGCTCTGAGCCGTCGAGCTACGAACTGCTCGAACGCCGAGAATTTGTCGGCAGCAAAAGCGGTAAACAAAGCTTCTTTAATCTTTTTTGCATCGTTTTTGCTTTCTTCATCCAGCTGCTGGTACACGCTGAATGCACCTCCTGTGAGTCGCAGAGGAATGACGCTCTCCTGGCTTTCCACTCCTTTCAGACGGCACACCAGCTCCAATTTATCTATCCATTCAGCGATGTCTTGAGAAACTCCATCGAATTCTGGTACCAAACGCAGATCCAAATCTCCGCCCCCTGTTCCGGCATCACCAATTCTCACTGCCATTGTAAAGCCGAAATAGCTTGTAGTCAATTTCACAGCCAGTTAGATAAAAGATAGATATTATTGTCAATATCAAGCGATGTTAACACAAAATTAGTCGCACTTCACAGAGGGCTGGAACTCCCCAATAACGACACCACTCCATCCCTGGACTCCCCGACCTGCCGTTCCCCTTCGCTCCTCCCAGCGCACTGCTCGCCCCACTGCCAGTGATCCCCGATTTTTTGCCCTCTCCACCAATCCCCTTCGGCAAAAGCCCTGAATTCTAGGGCCTAGCCAATCAGAGCTCACCAACACATCAATAAGTCAGGCTTCTTGATCTGGTTGCCATGGCAACATAACAATTGTCACGAACTTCCTAATTCCGAATTAACACTACAGTCTTCCTCTCGTCACGGGCAGCACGCTCGTTTTTTTTTTCGCGAAGCTCTAGCTCGATCAGCGGCCAAACGGCAATGGAGGCAACGGACCCCCCCCCCCCCATACGTTCGCGGCTGTCAAAACGCCAATACGGGCGAGGTTTAAATCCATATACATTCAGGCATGAGACAAGAAAGCTCCTGGTTAATAGTGTTAACCCGCGCCCCGTAGGGCTACCGGCGGACCCTACCACCCGTAAGGGGGGGGGGGGCGTTTCGGCCCCCCTAAGATCTCGGAAATTTACCGGCCGATTTTCAAAATTCAAACGGCGTTCGATAGCCCTACCGGGGAACTACCTTGTGACCAAATTTCATTGACCTAGGTCAAACCGATGACGTCACAGGTCAGGTCAAAGGTCAGATTTTCACCGTTCACAGGCATTTCAAGAAATGTGTTGTGAAATCGAGTAAATTGCTAAGTTATTGAAAACCATCGATGGTAAATTGTTCGTCAAACACATACTTCGCTATCTGAGGTCACTGATACCAGGTTAGGTCACAGAGGTCAGGTCACTGGGGGTCACAATATGAAAGTGTCGTGTGATACATGTTTTATGGTCCATTTTACATGACAAATGCGATTATGTGGTTCAGGCAGCCTTTGGGGTCAGTTTAGATTATGTTCCGGTGAAGGTCAGGTCAAGGTCAGGTCAAGGTCAGGTCAGGGGCGGCGCCACCGGGGGGGCAGGGGGGGCAAACATATCTTTTTGCCACCCTTGTAATACTGAAGGCCCTTTTGCTCAAAAGCACAGGCCCCTTTTTATATGTGACTTTGCCACCCCAGACATAGCCTCGAGACGCACCAGCTCCATTACAAATGGAGGCCCGCTAATCATATAGAAGGTTCCTTGTCAGAATTGGAGGTCCCCTGTACAAAAAGGAGGTCCCCTAGACAAATAAGAGGCCCCTCGACAAATAGGCCATCTGTACAAATAGTAGACCCTTTGGACGATTAGGAGGCCCCTGTACAAATTGGAGGCCGCTGGGCAATAGGCCCCCAGATAATTAGGAGGCCCCCTGGACAAATAGAAAGCCCCCTAGACAAATAGATGGTCCCCTGCACAAATAGGAGGCCCCTGGACGATTGGGAGGTCCTCTGGACAAATAGGAGGCCCCCTGGAGAAATAGGCCTCCTGTACAAATAGGAGGCCCCTGGACGATTAGGAGGTTCTCTGGACAAATAGGAGGCCCCCTGGACAAAGAGGGAGGCCCTAGACAAATAAAAGGCCCCTGCACAGTGCACACATAGGAGGCCCCTAGGCCCCTGCACAAATAGGAGGACCTTTGTAGAGAAAGGTGGCCCTCTGTACCAATAGGAGGTCCCTGGCAAAAAACAGGCCCCCTAGACAAATAGTAGGCCCTTGGACAATAAGGAGGCCTCTTGCACTTTGGAGGCACCCTGGGCAAATAGGAGGCCCCCTGTGAAAATAGGAGCTTCCCTGTACCAAAAAAGAAGTCTCTGGACAAGTAGAATGCCCTTGAACAGAAAGGAGGCCTTTTGTACAGACAGCAGGCCCCCTAGACCAGGGGTCGGCAAATGGTGGGGCATGTCCCCTTTGGGGGTAGTGGAGCCCTTTCGGTGGGGGTAATGAGGGATTCTGAGAAAACCTATCTTTTTAGAGTTCGTGGCTCCATTGATGGAACCATCGCGATGGACAGTCACGATGCATCGTGACTGTCGCATACCAGGGTTCAAAGATTAGCCCAGGTTAAAGGCACAGCACACATTGATTAGATACCAATTTTCACGTAGCTGCTCGCCTCACCATCTCACCGCGGCTCCGTACAGTCGTACAAAAGCAGCTGCAATTTTTAGCCGTCGCCCGTCTGTTGGCGTTTTCACAGCCGCTAACCCGCGCCCGGCTGGGGGGTCCTGAATTTCCACGCCCTGCTGGGGGGGGGTGTTTGAATACCCCCCCCCCCTTCTAAATCGGCTCCTGGGCCACGTAGCGATACGCGGAAGGCGGCGTTCGAAAGAGCGCCAAAAATAATGACGAAATCACTTCGGTCCCTTTTTTGGTCAGGTCAAAGGTCAGGTCACCAGAGGTCATTGAAGGCAAAATTTCGCCGATTTTCATGTCGAATGTCGACAATTTCCAGGAAGCCAACGCATAACTCGGGAACCAATAAAGCTACAGCGCCGCGGAAAAGCGCATTCGATAGCCCTATTAACGCCCTTTCTGAGTAATTCTCTCAGATTTGACCTAACGTCAACGGTTTTGCCTGCAGGGGGCAAAAACTGCAAAAATAGCCGATTTTTTCGGAAACAGTTTTTCTGCAATAACTTTTGACCCAAGCCTTGTACGAGCTTACTTTTACCGGCATCGTGTTCCTCTCGTCAAGACGCATCGAATGAACTATACCTTGACCTTGAAAGGTCAACTTGAAAATTTGACCTCAGGTCAAGGTCATGACCTGACCGGAAAGGGTCATGTTGCATATCAGTCGATCCGTATCGTCGAGCTGAACACATCTAAGGTGTTTTCATCGCTCTAGCATGCC